GGCGAACTGGTTGGCGGCCGCGAGGATGCCGCCGCTGAGCGCGTCGGAGGCTCCGACGGCCGGCGTGGCGGCATCCGGGGAGGCCTCGGCCTCGGCCTCGGCCACCTCGATCGCCTCACCCTTGCGGTTCAGCGCGTCAAACTGATCGGCGGTCTCGGCGTTGATGCCGTTGAAGCCGGTCGATGGGTCAGTAGTGCCGGCGGCAACGCCGGCGCCCGCGCCCGCGTACTGGACGCCGGTGGCGATGCCTTGGTTCATGTAGCTCTGCCACCCGGCGGTGAGCTTGCGCCGCTGCCCGCCCGCCTCCTTCGCCGGCGCCGCCGCCGCGCCGCCCTTGTGGTTCAGCGCGTCGAAGTGGTCGGCGGTCTGCGCCGAGAGGGCGCCAAAGTCGGTGGACGGGTCGGTGGTGCCGGAGGCGACGCCGGCGCCCGAGTTGGCAAACTCGATGCCGGTCTGGATGCCCTGCATCATGTAGTCCTGCCAGCTCGCGCCGTGCGGCGGCTCGGAGGCCTTCTCGTCCACGGCGGCGGCGGCTGAGGATGGCGAGGAGGCCGGGGAGCCGAGCGCCGACGTGAGCTGGTTGACTGCCGTGAGGATGCCGTCGCTGAGCTGGCCGTCGGCGATGACAGCGGGCGACCCGGCCGTCGTCTTGCCGCTGTTCAGGCTATCAAACTTGTCGGCCGTCTCTGCGTTGAGGTCTTGGAGTAAGACGTCGTCGCCGGAGGCACCGGCGTTGGCGTAGGCGGCGCCCGTCTCGATGCCTTGGTTCATGTACGCCTGCCATCCGGCGAGAGCGCGAGCGTTGGAGCGCGTGCTGGCCGCCGGGACGGGAGCGCCGTTGACGATGGAGATGAGAGAGAGCATGGCTGCGGACGGAGTGCTGGACGCGGCAGGAGACTCTCGGCTGGGATGGCAAGGAGCGCTTGAAAGGGCAAGGGAGTGGCTTCGGATACTCCGAGATTCAGCGTAGCTATGAGCGCTGTCAGAGCGGTGTTTCGACACCGATATCGTTCAAGGAGAACGCTGATTCAAAATCCGCTGTTCACACTTCACAGGTAAGTGTAAGCGGAGCAGCTGAGTTGATACGTGACCCCCCGGGACATCTGAGTTACTTTGCAGGAACGGCAACTAGGGTCTGTTATGACTGCATGCACATGTACATGTACATGTGCATGCACACGCGCATGTTGTGCATGTGCATGTGTTTGTTGTTGCTCATTCCTGGGACACCCTCGGACCGACCCCCGGGCGGCCGGGTATACCCGAGAATTCTCAGGTATACCCGAAAAATACATGTACCCGGAGCGCGCGCGTCGCTATGGCGCATAGCGGGTCAGCAAGCCCTAAAACGGCGGGAGGGGTAGGGCTTATCGGAAGAGCTAGAGGGCTCAGCCACCCCTCCACCCCCTCCACCCTGCACCCCTCCACCCTCCCGGAGCGAGAGAGGTCCGTCCTCGAGCCCTCCCACTTCCACCCCTCCGACCGGAGGGCTCGCCAGCCCACAGGGCTGGAGGGGTCCCCGTCGGATCGGCGTCGGGAGGGCTCCACAGGGCTAACCCCCTCCCCGGACGCCGGGTGGGCTCGGAGGGACGGTCGGACAAGGGAGGATCTTCGTGGCGGTAGGGCTCGAGAGGGGTCGGAAGGGCCCTTCGGGAGGGGTCGCAAAAAGATAAAAAAAACGATGT